TGGTGATGTAAGAGCCTGGTCCGATGAGAACCCGGCGTGCTCCGTCCCGGCTTTGTAGGGATGCGAGGTCAATGGCCTAACGACTACGGCATGCACGACTATGAGTACCCCCCCATCCCTGCTATCCCCACACATGGACCCACTGTGTTGCTGCACCATCCTTGCCGCCGTGATTTATGCGTGTACCCCCATGCTTGGAAGATCTTTGACTGCGGAGAGCCAGTTGCGGGGAAAAAACAAAAAAAATCAAATGAACCCAGTCACGTAAGGGTTCACCAACGCACAGCCCCGGCGTGTTCGACTCGACCCTTGCGCCCTAATTTAACCACCCGTACATATGCATAGCTCTGCAGCTTCATAAGTGTGCAGACGTTAGGCGTATGTACAACTGTCAACTCATTTCGTTCACGATAAAACAGCCAGCATCGGAGTGTTGATTTTGTTGATTTCAAACATGGTAACATGTTGATGACTAGACTAATCGGCACGACCGACCACGTAGTATTGTACATAGTTTAGAGGACAAACTCAACGACAACTATCTCCACTGCGACATGTCCACGCGGAAACTCACCACCTCCACGTTGCTCTTCTTAGAGGCGCTCCAAACGACCCGGTCGCCATTGTCCCAGTCGTAGGTGAACAGCTGCTTCTTTTCCGCCTCCCCTACTCTCTGCCGCCTGCTCCTGTTCCTTCGCCAAGGCCACCTCCGGCGTGATTGCTCGTCGTTGCTTTCGCTTTCTTCTCTCGTTGCTGCTGCCGTACCAACGGCCTCAACACCAGCCTTTGCATCATGACCGACCTGTCGCTTTGCTCTACAGGATACTACCCCCGCGCAATCATGATTGCCCCGGTGCCGACGACATCGGGTGTTGCAGCTGCTAATCTGCGCTGGGCTGATGAACCCTACCACGATCCCCGCCACAAGCAGTAGAGCAACCGCACCGGGCAGAACGGGCCACCTCCGGATATCCACCGCCATGCTGAAGAGAATACAACCAAAAGAAACACGTCTGCACGTCTTTGCCACCACGTCGACCGCAAAGCCTGTGCGCGCTCACATGCTCTCATCAACAGTCAGAGACGGTCAGCCGGTCAGATGACGTCATCCTGGGGGGGGGCACCACCACTGAAATCATAATATGGGTATGATCACCCAAGGTCGATCTTCGCGTACCCCCTGCCAAGCGCGAAGCAACCACGTGTGCTGACGAGGCAGGGCACCTGCTGCTTCACACAGCCTACCACGGGAGAGAGTTAGCCACGTCGTCTATCACATATCATACCTTTGGGCTTGGAGCTCTGGCAGGCTTCACCTGGCGTGAGCAACTAGAAACGGTTTTGTCCGGGTACGCGCTTTCGGTGAGTGCGTTATTCGGTGGGCTTACGTCCGATTAGACTAAATAAAGCCAGCACTTTTTCGAGCGTACGCACGCGTACATACGCGCTGCAAAGCTCGTTGTTATGTAGTATCGGCTTCATAAGTCGTGAGGGAAGGGATTACTGTACCCTCCTCGCGATCAAAGTATCTCAGACAGGGACCGTAGGAGGGGGTCCAGCCCCCCCCTCCTATGTGACCCCGGTTGGGTCGTCTCGCTGTAAACGTGGAGGATGGGGGCCAGAGGGGCAGACGACAGAGAGTCCATAAATTGGAGAAAAAAAAAAAACATACGACCACCACAGAAGTGTGTATGCAGGTTGTGCTGTGCGCTTAGCTCTACGGCATCCAAAGGTTACGTAACTTTGTCATCGCGGCCAACACGCAAACGTGCATTGGGTCTTTTTCGGCGATTGCTACTGTTTATTTTGGCCGCTTTGAAGAATCGTGTTCCTTTTAGTGTCGTTTAGTTATGCATTCATCAATAGTTTTTGCGATGCCAGGCAGGGTACGGACGAGGTCCCGCCACATGTTCCACGGCGTGCTTCCTGTGGAGCTTTGAAGTAGCTTCCGCCTCACGGAGCTCGAATCGCGTCTTCCGTACCCCTCTCTTGATGTCGATTGCTGTTGTGGCCCATAGGCTGCCTCGCCTTGGGTGCGGGATGCCGCTTATTCGGTACAGTACTGGTTTACTTTGTCCCGTCAATGCCGTTCAGTAGTTTGTCCGCCACTCTCATCGGACGAGACGGCCAGGGAAGAAAGCACACGAGAAGAGACGGACCGAGTGGCGCGATACGTGCCGGATTGAATTTCTTTTAGCCGATCCCCCCCCCAGAACGCTGCACCATTGCACCAACTCCCCACTAGTGATGACGTGCCATTACAATGTGTCGCTGGTTGGTGGCCACGTTTGCTTGTTTGCTTGTTCCTTAGTGGTCTCTCCACCGTGTCCCTTGTTCTGTGTTTTTTCTTGTTGTGTTCGGCCTGGTCCCTTCGTTGTTGTTGTTGTTTCTCACATTAGCTCCATAGCCCACAAAAAATGGGGAGCCCGTGGTCTCAAAACCCGGCACATACGACGCCGCGGGGAAACAAAGCAAAAATAGGGTACAAACCACTCGGAAAAAGAAAACAAAATGATAAAAAGAAAAGAACAGCTACCGCACCGACCGCTCGAGGAAAGAGCCCTCGGAAACCGATCAAAATAAAACAAAAACAAAAATAAAGGAGGACGCTTCCCACACCCGCCTAGAGAAAAAATCAAAGGGTAACATACCAGCACCAGGCACTACGCACCAGGGCATGGGAGTAACGGAGCAAACAGGACAAAGAGGCGGCAGATGGGCAGACAGCCAGATGTGCAAACAAAAGCAACAGCAAAGGCGATATCAAGGTACCCAACACAGCAGAGTAGGCAGGGAGGGCATGAAAAAAAAAAGAAACACAGCACAGAGGCCGAAGGCAATACGAAGGACATACATAAAGGAGAATAGCATACAGCAGGGAGGGAAACATGGCGCAACAACATCAGCGGGTACATAGTCCGGAGGGGGTCCAGCCCCCCCCTCCTGTGTGACCCCGGTTGGGTCGTCTAGCTATTATAGTACAAGTGGAGGATAGGGGCCAGAGGGGCAGACGACAGAATCCGATGATTGGAGAAAAACAAAAAAAAGTCGCCCTGGTGGACATGTGGNAAGGAGAATAGCATACAGCAGGGAGGGAAACATGGCGCAACAACATCAGCGGGTACATAGTCCGGAGGGGGTCCAGCCCCCCCCTCCTGTGTGACCCCGGTTGGGTCGTCTAGCTATTATAGTACAAGTGGAGGATAGGGGCCAGAGGGGCAGACGACAGAATCCGATGATTGGAGAAAAACAAAAAAAAGTCGCCCTGGTGGACATGTGGGTAGCCCTGTAGCCTGCTGAGGGCCAGGTGATGGGTTCGAGTCCCGATAGAGTGGGTTTTTTCTCGCTAATTTAATCCTGGTCTCCGTTGGAAGCGACGCGCCGCAAAGCTCGTTGTTCGTAAAATTGATCGACTTCATATGTCGCGAGGGAAGGGGTTGCTGCACCCCTCTCGCTATAATAATTTCTCAGGCAGGAACCGCAGGAGGGGGTACAACCCCCCCTCCTATGTGGCCGGTGGGAGTGTTTGCCTTCGGGGTTGGGTTTTCGTCGCTTGGCAACGACGTTGTAAAACAAGCC